TTAAGTAGCCCTCTTTTACCCTTTTTAAGAGGATTTCATACTATTTGATCAAATTTTTCACTGACATTCTTTAAATGTGACCAAATTATCTTTAACAATTTTTTTACCTGTTTGCATGCACTAATTTTCTTCCTTGTGTTTCTAGCCTTGTGACTTTTGCCGGACAACCAATGAAACACACACATCCCACGTATGGGAAGTGTCACCTAAAATTATTCATCCAAAATGCATTTAAAAGATATATAGATGCATATAATGGAAACGACACTTGTAAATATCCTCTCTATTTAAGGTCATTATCAGAACACGCCTTTTGCTCAATTTGGAGTTTTTTTTTTTTGGGAAAATCTGATTGAGCTGCAAAAGTGCACGAGGTGTTTTGGAAAAAATAAATAAACACTTAAGACCAAAAAAAAAAAATTAAAGAGGCACTACCCCTTGGAAGAAGAGAACCACAAGGGATTTTTGTTTTTGGGTAGCAGAGGGTTACTTCAAACCTCCATTGATCAGCTGGCGGAGCCCCAAATAGTAGGAAGCCTCATTAGACGGACATCTTGGACCACATAGGCCATTCTTAAGCTCACTATAGTTATGGGCCTGTTAGTAGAAGACTATTCCTCCAACCGGTGTGGGAGGGTATATATGTAAACCTCACAGCTTGCAACCTGCAAGTGGCTGTATCTTTGTTCAATGGAGTGGTTACTGATTAGGAATAGACGACATATATATAAAAAAAAATTCAAAATAAAATAAATAAAAATGTTGAATAAGAACTATGAAAATGGTTACGCACTGCGAAATTCAATCAATGACTCTTTCAGTCAATCATGTGGTTGTTTCAAAGTTCAAACTACCTTTTTTGGTTTCTTAAAATTAATTCAAACCTTTTAAGATTGTTTTTAGAATGTTAATTAAGATTTAAGAACTCGTTAATGGCCAAAAAGAATTAAAAATTCTTCAGTCCGCATTTTGTAGTACTCAAAAAATATATTAAATGACAAATAAAAAACATATGTACAATTCATCATAAGCTATAAATATTATGAATCAAGCATTTTTTGAAGTCTTTGCAATAAGCCAGACCCACACTGTTTTCTTTTGAAAGGGCACCATTAAGTGCTGCTGTCCAAGAGATGCAGGTTGCCAGAGAAACAAGAATTTTCTTTTAAAATTTGCAATGGCAAAACTTAGTTAACGGCTTACATGATAAGCATCTCAAGTAGTTAATTTTTTTTTTTATAGACAATTTACGCACGTACATTTGTACAAATATATTAACATGGAGATGAATACAGTGTGGAATGTTAATTTGGAGGAAAATGAGATATTTTGTGGCGGGAATATTAAAGGGGGAAACCAACAAAATAAGGGGATGATGAGAGAAGGTGATCGTGTGGGGTTGCAATTGTGTCATTGGGAAGAGGCAATATGAAGTGGACCCATCCCAACGAGAGTCGATGAATACAATTATATGCATTATTATTGCACGTCTCCATCTCCCACTTGTAGTAATTTCTTAAATCCCTCAACTTAGTTTCCTATATATATGCCTCCCTCATATGAATTGAATTCTTCATCCTCACTCCCTTTTAAAAAACACTTATTGTGGTGATTGTGAGTTCAAATCATACTTTTTTTTGTACTCTTCACTCCTAAATGTAAGACTTACTTTATAGTGTAAATGATGCTATAAAATAAATCTTGCATTTAAGATCAGATGAGTATTATTCTTACTTAATACAGGATATTCTTACTTAACATCAACAGTCTTATGGCTTAGTAGCTTGGAAACTTCCCAATAAGTAGGTGGTTGTGGTAGGCCAGTAGCTTGGAAACTTCCCAATACTAGGTGGTTGTGGTAGGCTTGATTCCACTAATAATCTTATGTCATTGACATTTATTCCTTTGATTTAAAAAATATAAAACACTTTTAACTTCTTCAAAAGGCAGTTAAAAGTAGTTTGTATCATTAAAATGGAAAAAAAACATAATTATTACTATTTTTCAAGATTACCCTCCAATTAAAATTGATATACTCAATTACCTTTAATTTCTTTCTTGCGTATCCTCTGTCTAATGTACAATTACTAAGGAAATTTGTTTTTAAAAAAAATAGTGTTATTGACTTTTTATGAGGCAACTTATATTAAGAACTATAAAAAATTTTAAAGATATTTCTTATTCTTCCGATTCTTAATGCAGGAGTTACTCATCTAATTTAGGTAAGTCAAAAAAATAAATAAATTATTTCACTCTACTAAATGTGACACAATCTCTCTAAAGTATTTCTATATAATATTAGATTATATCAATTTATAAGTTTGATAAACTAATTAAAAAGATAAATATTAGAGATAAAATGAATTACGTACTTAAACAAAAATCAAAACCAACTCTCTTCGACATTTAGGAACAAAAGAGTGTTAAAAATGGGGGGATGGAATACCTTCAATGCAGTGATGCATGTTCAGGTGAGAAGCCTTGGAACTCAATGTTGATTGAGGACATAAATAAAAGCATCAATATCCCGGGAAGTGGTCCTAAGTGACTGGGGAATTGTCCATTTATCCAAATTACATCAAATGAATGTGTTGGGCCATCCTGTGGGTTCTATTATTGGGCAATCTCTCAAAATCCAATGAATAAACTCCCTCCAAAATCAGATTCTCACCCAATTTTGGGTCCCCACTTCTTGTATTTCTGCCACATGGGCTGTCACACTGCTTATCTTCTAAGGCCCACTCACCACCATCATCATTTGTTTCTCTTGTTTTCTTCCTCTCTATTTTCACCGGGACCACCTCAGGCCCTCCGAATCCGTGAAAACATTAAATTTTTTTATTAAAAAAAACCTTAATTATTGTATTTAATTTTGATTTTTAAAATTTGAGTAGCATGGAAAATTATTGGGTTTATTATGTGCTGAGGTCTGCTTCGTGGTTGGAGTTATCAAGTTACGGTTAGTGTTTGTAGGGCCGTTGGGGCGTGGTTGAGTATGACTGAAATGTGGACGTAATACCGAATTCAAGTAGTACCAAACTGCATTTTTAGTTAAACTTTTAAAGGTATTACTCGGACATGGTTAATTTCTTGTACCCACCACAAATAGCAAATCTGGCCAGCTCATCTAATTCCTCCCTCCAATTAAATGCTCCCCTACGTCCTTCTCCATTAATGCTGATGAATATGGGACGGGATCGTGATTCATTAATGGCTTTTTTCAAAGATATTTAAGTTTATTTTGTTAAGAGACCTGAATAGGAAGAAATATTATTATTATTATTACCATCTTTTCTAAATCATTTTAGATTGTGTTTATCTGCTTTCAATAAAATAGGATATTATCTAGACTATGGGTAGATCATCTTATCGTAATCCTAAAATTTAATTATAAATTTAAATTACTATTTTATTATTTTTAGGGCTTTATAAACAGCTCTAAAATATATATAGTAATAGTAGGTAATCTTATTTTAAAACAAAGCATATATATGTTGATATTAATATTAAAAAATTTGGAACGAAATTTCCGGCAGATAATTTAATTTCTTGTACGCGTATTGTATTGCAAAAGGATATATATATATATATATATATCTCTCTCTCTCTGGGTGTGTGTACATGAAACATGAGTGTAGTTTCTCACACACGACATTATTACTTGTGACTAGTATAATTTGGAGTTACTATTATGGCGTGCGAACTCAACTAATGATAGATAATGCTTGTATGTTACGTAATGTCACAGTTCGAATGAGAAGTTGAATACGTGGAACAAAACAATATAATAACATAAGCAAGGAGCTAAGTTGCTTTCAGACACAGATCACAAAAAGAAATCTGGTTTTAACTTCATCGCTTAAAAAACAATACCCACACACACACACACACATGTTGTCTCAAACTAAACTAATCGTACATACCCTTTACAGACCGACAACAAATATCCAACTCACCACACTTGTCTCCGAATTAGCAGGTTTCTTACGTGAGCCCACCTCCTCCTGGCCTTCGCTATTCTTTCTCTCCACATATTATAATCACTTCTTAATTTATTAATCTAATAGTCTTGGAGTTTTTGCCCTTGTTTCACGGCAGACCCCCTTCAAACTAGCTCCTCGCGCCGATCCTGAGTTAGTGTAATTTGACGGGGCCTTCGTGTGTGTGTGTGTGTGTGTGAGACCAGACCCCTTTGATCTTTGAAGATATAAATAAAATTGTAAAGCAAGGGAGAGATTGGGGGGGGGGGCCAGGTGGTGTGATGGCGATGGTTAAAATTGATGATGAAAGCGATGACAGAGGGGAGGCAGATTAGTAGTTTCCGGGAAAGGGTGCTCTTTTCTCGGAAAGTCACTCTCACCCTACTTATTGGTCCACCCCAGTACCAGTGATGTGTGGGAATTCCATTTTTTATGGATGCATCAAAATAAAATAATAATAATAATAGTAAAAGCTTTTGAAACTTGGAGGATGGGTTTGCCAATCATGATAACGTGGCAGCGACGTATGGGGTGGGGCACCACGCAATCTGGGCCGTTCAATTGAGCCTGAGACTGATGAGATGCGACGGAAGTGGGGAATGAATGATGATGATGATCATAATAATAATATTATTATTATTATGCTGGTTTTTTATGGGTCTGACCGAGAAGCAAAATCCTATGTTGAGATCCATTGAGGGAGACCCAATGGGGCATCACGTGGAGGAGGGCCCCACCAGTCCCCTCAAAGCCCAAGCATCTCACGAGACCACCCCATGGACACGCACTCCACATCAGTATCCCCTCTCTCTCTCTCTCTCTCGAAGCAACTGATTTCCAGACAAAAACACGTGACCTAACTTCCCTATCCACACCCCTCCACCCTTCTCCAACTTAATCATCACCTCCAACTGATCCCCATCATTATCTCCCCTTTCCTTCTTCCTCCTTCTGTTCATCGTCCCTTGTTAGCATATAACATACAGATGACCAGAAATTCAGGATAAAAAAAAATTATGGTAATTCACTAATATAAACCAGTTATATATAAACATACAAATAAAAAGTAATGGGGGGATGGACACAGTTACTATTTTCTACTGTTTTAGTTAATTACAGTGTTTCCCTAGAGGTGCTCCTCAACCAAAAAAATACAATGGTTGTGGCAGATTCTTGTTCTTGTTCTTGTTCTTGTTCTTCTTCTTTTCTTTGTTTGCCATCCCTGAAAATGGAGGCGCGTCAACATGCTGCCGAAGGATTGTTGAAGGGGTTGTAGAGGTGAGCGGCCTTGGGAGTCATGGAGAATGGGGTTTTATTGGAACCACCGTCCCCAACGCCGCCCAGCCTCTCGCAAGACGGGCACATGGTGAGCGTCGCCGCCGGCATCGGCACGTACAGCGGGTGAGACAGCTTCAGCGCCTTCAGCTCTTGCAGCTCTTTCTGCAGCCTCCTGTTCTCATCCGTCAGCGTCTCACAACATTTCTTTAAAAACTCGCAGTCCACCTCCGTTTGCTTCAGCTTTGTTCTGCAAAACCACCATCAAAATCTTAATTACCACCAAGATATTTCCCGGCCTAAATAATAAATACCAATACAAATATATATGTACGATTGCGAAGTCGTATTGTATCGTGAGTTCCATATACATGCGTCAGGCGCTGCATATAATTTTGGAGTATTTTTCAAGCCCAGATACTTTCGCTATCAAAACATTGATTTCTTAAGTATTAATTCAAGTTTCGTATGGTGGATGTTATAATCAGTTACCTGGCTCTTCGATTCTGGAACCAAACTTCAACCTGGCGAGGCCGTAGATTTAACTGCCTGGCTAACGCTTGCTTTTGCTTCTGCGAATCAATTGAGGGCAATATTAGTTATAAATTCTGGAATCAGTCAAGAAAGAAGGTGATGAAAACCGATAAGCAGATTAATAAACAAGATTGATGGAGAGAGAGAGAGAGAGATAAGGATTGATGAATATAATTAAATAGGATGATTACCGGGTTGAGTGTGCTGTGCTGTTTGAAGCTTTCCTCGAGGAGAGCAGATTGTTCTTTGTTGAGCCTGAGCTTCTTTCTGGCATTAGTGCCGTCTTCATCTTCATCGCTGACTCTGGAAGAAACCCTCTCGGCCTCGGCCTCCTCGCTGCTGAGATCTCTCTCCCTCTTGACCCTCCCCACAGAGAAAGACGAAACCACGCTGTGAGGCGAAGAAGTCTGGCGAGACAAGTGATCAGGAGGAGTTTCCTCCCAATTAGCTTTGATATTCACATCAATCCTCTTAGGCACAAGGTAAGTGTCGCCGGCCGAGAGACCCAACGTCAGAGATGGCTCGCAGACACCACTGGCAACCGTGAGATTAGAGGAAGGTTTCTTGGGAGCAGTGGTGGTGGTGTCATCAACGGCGGCAACGCCGGAACCCAGCCCTAGAACAAGCTCGAGGTGTGAGGAAGTAGAAACAGGAGGAGGAAGAGCCATGAGGATGAAGGAGAGGAGAGGAGAAAGGAAGAAGGAGGGTTAGATGGGAAGGGTTAAAGTCATGAGAGGGGAAGAGAGGGTCTTAAGAAGAGAATGAATGGGACTTATGTGGGGGCGTTGGGTGGGTGGGTATGATTATTATTAATCAAAGGCAGGAATGAGTAGAGCAACGAATCTGCTGGGTATTTCAAATTATTACTATGATCCTCTCTCTCTCTCTCTCTCAGTCTCTCTCTACCCCCCTCTTACATAGGTTGACCAATTGAGCCCCACTACTGTGTTCCTCTTCCAGTTTTAATAAATAAATAATTACTTAATATCAAACATACATGAAAAAGCAAAAATAAAAAAAAAAATCCTTAGCTCCCTCTATCTCCCTCTATCTCTCGAATTACTCATGACTTATATATGCCTTTGCCACCCGCAAGCTTGCCAAATAGAACTAGCCTTCTTGTTCATTTTTCTCTTATTTTCTCATATTTATTGTTGTTTCTAATTAATTACCCAAACTCTCTTCTTCTTCTTTTTTCTCGGCACATGTATTTTTTTTATTAGAGACAATCATGTAACATATATATATATACGTATGTATATATGGATGCCATATGCACATGATTCTCAACCCATTCAAAGCTAGTGAGGATTCTCATGAGTGACATGTGATTTGTTTCTTGCAGTTATGATACTATAAATTAAACATGACAGCATCGTATTCCTGTTTTTTTTTAAAAAAAAAAAAATATCCATATATGGCCTACTCTAATTGGGTTATACAAATTAAATAGAACTCCTTCAAGAGTTATTGACTGTTTAACGAATCAATACTCTGAGTAATTACTCCGAAACACGATATACATGTTAGAACATTTAATAGGTACCGTACTTCATAATAAGTAAAGAGCAAGATGACTCGACATTTATTTAAAGCACACTATCGCTCTTATTTCAAAGGAAAATATTATATAATAAATTCATTACGAATCAAAGTTCTACGCTTACAAAATCAAATATATTTTATAATCATAAAAATAATGTCACTATTTCCCCATTAATATATATTTTAATATGTTATTTCCTGCCATTCTTTAGTACTCCTCCGGTTCTAAATATAAGACCCTTATACTAGTGTGTGTAAGGGTCTTACATTTAGGACTGGAGGAGTATATGTTTATCAGATGATGACGAAGACGAATAATCTGTTCTTCAATTCCTTGATTCTCTCCCCTTATGCCTAATTCTTCCTATGCCTTAATGGTGCGTCTATATAAATATAAATATATTCGTGTACAATTGTTGGTATGCATTATATGTAAAATTAATATAAAGAAAAAGGGAGTAGAAGAGACCCACATGAACTGTCTCCCACTGGGCAAGGATGGTTGAACTAGTTAGAGATGGGTACCATGTCACCTTGCTTATTACCAAGGTTGCTTGCTTTTTGATGAATGGGGAATATACATGAACTCTGGTTGGACGGTTTTCCTCTTGCTTATTATGAGTGTGGACATTAGAAAGTGATGTGCACTACATATATATATGTGTTTGTTTGCATATGTGGGAGGAAAATAAAGGAAATTAGAAAAAGTAGGTGCGATGGAGGAGTAGCTAGAGACAGAAATGGGAGTTTCAACGAGTTATAATGGTGCCAGAATATGATTCATCCACAAGAATCCGGATATTTGCTTAACTATAAAGTTGATGGCAATTGTAATAATATTGGGTCCTACTAATTCCCTTGTGTGTGTGTGTGTGTGTGTGTATTTAGTACTATACATCAGCACCACTTTCAATAATAATAATAATGCTTTGTCGGCGATGCTAACCCAGCAGTTAGGTCACCTACATCCCTTCTTTTCTTTAATTAATCATCATTATGCTTCTTCATCATCTTCTAATTTTGTGCATTTCGCCTCCCTATCAATTAAAAGGGCCCATATCATCACTTTGAAAACCTAATCTCATTTATTTCCACCTACATATTTTTGCGGTGTGTTAATTATATGTTTACAGCTCATGCTGATCTGACTTACCTTAATCCAACATATCTCCACAAAGGCACAAACTTTAGGGTTTAGAACGTTAAATTGCATTTTTGTTCTTCAAGTATTTTATTAATTGAAGAAGTTATTTTATATTTATATATATATATATAGGCCCTGGAAAAATTGTGTAATAATGAAGCAGAAAATTTATTTCTCAAAATTTATGTAATATTGCCTGTTTTTAATGGTGAACATCAAGTCAACGTTAGGTGAAAAGAAAGATCTCTCAATCTACACTAATAATTGACTGCTATAAAAAGGTTTTTCAAGATCTCATACTATGTATTGCTCTATTTAACATCTTTTTCTAAATTAGGCAAAACTGATCAAATTTTAAATGCATGTTTTTAACTCTAAAAAATTTATTAGACTGAATTAGGAGTTAGGGCGAGCACGCCTTGCATTGTAATGGCTTAACTCACATGTATATCCCTAATTAACATCGCTTTTCATATTTTTTGTTAAATGCAAAATGCTAAATTAATTATTAAGTATATATTATTTAATTTTCCATATGTATGCATGTATATGCAATTATATGCATGCTTATTTAGAATATGTCTTCTTCTTCTTTTTTCATTACCTAGGTTTGGATCAACTTTTTAATAGGACCACCCATTTTTTTTTAAAGTTATATAATGTTGAATATTGGAAAAGTGGGGATTACAAAATTTATTATATCTAATCTAATCTAATCAGTCAATCAGACACACGATGGGACATAAAACCACGCATATTTTGATTAATGGCATACATAATTATGGGCACATAAAAGTGGGCGGATCCCAAATGATTATCTTCAAATTCAGTACGCAAAATCCTTAATCAGTGTTGTTTGAGGATCACAATAATTCTATGCACAAACTTCTGCATGCTCGTCAAGGAAAACATATTATTAAAATCTTGGCTGTCAATCATCATATGAATATTTTATGTATATGACATAATCATCTAATTTTTTTTAAAAAATAGATTAATTAATATCAAACACAAAATTTATTAATTTTTGGTTGGGACTATTAAATATAGGATATAGAAGCTAAATTTTGAGAAAATTTTGGTGTTGAATTGGAATAGAATATTATTTTTGAATTTTGAGAGGAACTCGAGCTATGATTTTTTTTTTTTGGCCCCAAAAAAGAAAAGTGCTGTTGAAAAATATATAGGGTAGTTTTGACTCAAATAAGTTATTTACAAGGGGCGAATTATTACGACATGGGTGAGTATTAATGACGTTAGCGGGGCTATTTATTAATTATTATATTAAGGTAATAAAAATGAAAAGGAAGGGCCGTCAAACGTGTCCCGTAGATAGAGTGTTTGCTTCCTAACAGGAATTCCATCCACTGATTAAAATAATGTTAATCATTTGATGATGCAATGACAAAGATCTACCAAATTTTATTAATTTATTAAAACTCCATTATGCTGAGCTTTTTGTCCAGTAGCTTCTCAATATAATAGAGTACTCCTAGCGTATGATGTCGAGAAATGCTTAAGGAGCAACTTAATCCGAAATTAAAATTTTTTAATGCTCCTATTAAGTAATTTAATGATATGAATACTCTCCTACCAGTACTAAACATCGTGGTCAAATATGGTTTTAATGTGAATGAATTGATATTTTAAAAATGAATGGGGGTGCCACGTAAGGACGAGGGGGACATGTGGGGCCCACCAATGATTTGGTATGATGGGCATTTGATTCCGTGGAGCGTACAAGTTGGCTCTCAATTCATGAACGCTGAAGAATTTCCTGCAGATAAGGTTTTCGTGATGTTTGTTCCTTCTGCTAGCTAGCTCCTCACTTTTTCAAGCCATCCTCCCATGTTCTCTTTTCTTTCAGGAAAATTATTGGATATTATTGTGTTCTTATTTGTACAATTATTGATTCTTTTTTTATCAATTTAGGCCTGAACTAATATAATGTTCATTGCTCGAGTCTTTAATTTATTATGGTTGCTGATTTCATATTTCTTATTATATTCTTTGAATATATGCTGTATCCTAATAAAAAGTTAGGCTTGCCATCATCACTTTTTTTTTAATTCAAACAAATATTAATTGATGGTGTTCTGAATGCAGGTATATATATTGTAATAATTAATAAATGGATAATTACTCTTCTTGGCCATTTAGCCCTAGATAATATATAATATAGATGATGAAAGGTAAATAAATCATTATTTTTGGAATTACATACGAAAGCAACTAATAAAATCATTTCCTGTTTAAACAAATACTTAAACATGACACATTGAGATCTATATGTCAATACACGATGATAGTTTATTTAAGTTGTTAGTAAAAATTATATACAATGATGAAAAAGTTGTTACCACCTCTGGTCCTTAATATAAAAGTTAGTTTGGCTTTTAATTTAGTTCTAAATATAAGATATTAATCCACTTTGTCTTTCATATTTATCTATTTTTTCTATGATAGTCCTTGTAGTAGTTGCATGTGTTAAATGTTCAATCAAATAGTTGTTTTAGTTAATATATGATTAGTAAGCATATTTTAAGAAAAAATAACATATAATTATTATAAATAACTAACTCAACAAACTTCCTTAATCTACTCAAATTACTCAACTAGCTCTTATATTAAGAGACAGAGGTAGTACTCCTTCAATTCTTAATACATGACCTAATTAGAAGGTTGATCTTGATCCTAAATATAAACTTATTTTTTATATTTACCAATTTTTTTTAAATTACCCCCATTAAATAATTAAATACTCTTCTGATCCTTAATATAAGACCTATTTAATTAATTTGATTATATTAAGAAAGTTAAGTAAGTTAGTTAATTATAAAAAATGACATGTTCTTCCTAAAATACCATAATCATCTTTCTTAATATCATTCGTCCCTCGCTTACTTGATTATGGTTGAGTGAGTATCAATAGGGATAATTTAAAAAATTAATAAATATGAAAAAAAGATATTATATTTAAGATCAAAATTAAATTAAAAATTAGGTCCTATATTAAGGATCGG